TGCTTTACAGTTAAATCTTTTCTTTCTTTTCTATTCTTTCTCCTTTTTTTCTCACTTTGTTTTTCTTTTTCTTTCTCTTTATTTCTTTTCGGTCTTTCTTTATTCAGTTCTCTCTCTCTCTCTCTCTCTCTCTCTCTCTCTCTCTCTCTCTCTCTTTTCAGTGTTCTTTTCATTCAAACTTCTTCCCTTTCTCTTTTCTATTTATCTTTGTTTTTCTCTTTCTCTTCCTCTGTTTATTCCTTCCTTTCTCACTATTTCTTTATCTGTCTTTGGCTTAAGCCATTAAATAAACATTAATATCTTCTCACGCATCTATCACTGTCTTTATGTTTTTATCCCGAACAGGAGCGCTAAATATCCACTGTCTGTCATACGGTCTGTCTGTAACAAAATGCATTAAATCAACGACAAAATCTATCCTACTGCCCATCTGTCCGTGAATTTCGTCCCAACTTTCAGTTATCCAGCTATTAAATAAATGGTGTAATCTGTCCGTAATGGGCGCCTGCCGTGGAGCACTTGTTTATCACTGTTTTGGTCGCGTGCCAGACAAAACTAAGCTTTTAAAAGGAGGTGCTAAAAAGTTCTCAGCCCAACCATGAACGGATTTTTTTTATAATTTTTATCATTTGGTCAAATTTCGGACAATGTCTCGAGTCGAATACGATTCAGAAACCCCTTGTAAATAGTTGCCAAAGTCTTTTGCTGTAGACCAATGGTTAGCAAGTTAATTTCGGACTACTGTAGTGAATTGGATCTTGGGTGCATCGCTGTTGTCACTTAGTGTCACGCTATGCAACTATGCTATTATGGAAATACCCATGAAAAAGGTATGACTCTCCCCTAGCTATGGATTAATTATTAAGACTTGTATCACAAAACAATTATTTTCCCACCGAAAAAAAGAATTCTTACAATCTAGAAATATATTCTGGCTTTAAATAACCTGCAAATTAAATAAATACATTAAACACTACCGATTTTCCGGCACACGGGCGCAGATCCATCCTTTTCTTTGAAGAACAAATCTAATTAGAATAATCAGTTAATCAGTAAAGTGCCATGTGATACACGCTTGGCTGATCATGTCGCTTTCGATTCATGGTGGTGGGTGAGAAGAGACTTCTTCCAAGTGTATTTGCGCGTAAGTGAATGCAACGAATTCGAGTGGAATTCGAACTCGGCTTTCCGATTTCTCATTACCGAGCCAATATCCATTACACCACAACACGTATCCTAATTTAGCAATACACCTCTGCCTAATTATGTATGGTGATTTTTCTAAGAGTAGCTTAGATTTGGCACAAGGCCGAAATTATTGGGCACCCAGTGATGATCGAACTCGCTATTCAGTCGTAATTGATCTAGTGAGACTAGCATTCTAACCAAAGTGGGTGATGTGGCAACAAGTTCTGATATATGCGACGAATAACCTCGCAGGTTGGACCTTGTTAGAAATACTTACAGATCGACTAACCCAGACTCCCGTTGAGAATGTTCTCGTATAACTAAATGTGACTCCCAAGTCGCCTTGGTTATCTCATCCTTTAAAATTAAAAAAACAATAAACAACACCTGGCTATGATGTTTATGTAATATTACCACTCATGAACAGAGATGCAATGTATCATTTCCTAGGGGAATTATTCAAAATTGTTATTATTATTATTATTATTATTATTTATGCATTTGCATGTTCGCATGTTACCACTGGAGGTTGAGTGACAACAAGTCTCTTCAAATCTCCGTGCTGGGGATACTTTCTCAGTATTTTCAAGGTTCCAGCAACATCGTGGTCTGTACAGTTACAACCCTTCTTTGGCAATCGTGTGAGATTCAAAATAATTGCTCGTATTTTCTGGATTAAAAAATGGAATAATCAAGACGCTGACATTCCACACTACTACAAGCAATGTCTCGATCGGACATAACTCGACTTTTTAAGTTATTGCTTTGGTTTTGTAGCAATTTACGGTGTTGGGTAAGAGTGCCTCCAGCTCAGCTTATTCTATGTTCAATTTTCTTTGAAAAATTTGAGCTGCTGCTTCGTATATTTTCCTTGCCAGGCATTGGTACTTCTGTATTTTCACCTGCTCTCTCATCAGTGTGTTCTTATCCCAAAGTACGCTACGTCTATCAGGATTCATTCATGGCTGCTCTTGCTCAAGTGTAATATCAGGCCGATTGCTTTCCAAGAGCTTGTCAGTCAAGGTGGTTGTATCCGAGATGAGCTTCACTTCTCATTCAATTAACATTATTATTATTTAATCACTGAATTGTCGCATCATTATTAACTGGTCATTTATACTGGAGATGGGATTATGGCAAGTCTCCAGCAAAAATTTTATTCAGTTTTTGGTAATGCTGCCGTTTTAATCGTCTTTCCAATTCCTTCAGTCTTTTTTTCTTAAATTCTTCGAGATTATTCTCGATAACCACCGTTACTACTAGCATCGTAATATTCTGAACTCCCTGACAAGGCCTAGATACTGATCCATCCCTTTACTTCCCTTGAGTTTTATTCTGTGATTTGATGGAACAGCAACATCTACTGTTTTGCACATTTTTCTTGTTTTAGGCCTATCAATCGTTTGGTTTGCATTGAGTGGTCCATTTTTCATCTCAAAGTTTCACAGGATTTTATATCTAACTTTATAGAACAGATTAGGGTCTGTGCATTTACCATTCATATATATGGTCAAAACAGCAGTCACTTGAACAGTTCCCAAGAGATCACCTTTCCCACTGATGTCTATTCTTGTATTCTTTCAGGGCTAATTTGCTACATTCACTTATTATGTGCTGGAGTGACTTATTTCCACAGTCAATATTTACTCTTTCCCTGTGTTTATTTATCTTGGTAATTCTAGAGGTGGTTCTTATGGAAAAGTAAAGAACAAGGCTGACAAGAAAAAACAATAACGATTACGAAGACAAGAAAAAAGAAGAAAAGCAATATCACCGATAGAAAAATGAATTAGAAAAAAAAAGCAAGGACATCAGCAAGAAAATAGAAAAAATATTTGAAAAAGAAAGAAAAATATGAAATGAATAAAGAAGTAGAAAAAGAGGCGAGAGAAGACGAACAATCGGGCGCGGCTTCTGAAGAACAAAGGAGCATTCAGTGAGAGAGAAAACACAAGAAGGGAAATAAGCAAAAGCAAATAAGAGGGAATTTCAATGAAGACAGGAACAAACAATGGCGCTCATATTTGCTGGATGGAGAGATATCCTCTTATAAAAATTGATTGTGTACAATGGAATCCTTTACCGAAATGACTGACTGTTTGTAGTTGGATAAAATAATCCAGAACTTGTTTATTTTCTGATATTCACTTTGCTTAACAAAGACAAACAGATAGATAGATAGATAGATAGATAGATAGATAGATACATACATACATACATACATACATACATAGAACGTCTATTGGAACTCAAGCTCCCCCAGACCTCAAGTGGAACTCATATATACGATTTATTACTGAAGATGTTGGGGAAAATGGTCAGTTCATTGTACTGCTTTAGTAGCTATCTGACGCCCATTGCTATACGCTATCTTTAGAAGAGCCAGATCAAACCAAAAATAGAGTATTGCTGCCATATTTGGGATAGAGCTGCCCAGCCCTCACTTGCCTGTCTCGATAGTTAAAAAGTGCATACGCGGCCTTATGGGCGATGAATTATTTTTTCCACCCTAGAAACCCTTTCCGACAGACGAAACGTTGCAAATCTCTCGCTATTCTATCGCTATTTTTATGGCAAGTGTTTTGATGAGCTACATTCCTTGTTTCCACAAGCCCTGACATTTGTAAATGGGACTCGCCATACCACACACACAAGAGGGAATCATCCCCATGTCCTTCGTATTCCGTTAGTAAGGAGTAATTTCCACTCGAACAGCTTCTTACCAAGAATTGCTGCTTTGTGGAACAGCCTCTCGAGAACATGCTTCCCTGATCGTTACAGTCTTAACTTCTAAGGACAATCGTTATTTATCCTACATATCTTCCTAATCTGCATTTACTTCCTACTCCAAGGTTTATACAAAAATCTCACTCAGTAACTCTGTACCTTGAGTGGTTCCGGGATTTGTATTGGGTGAACATTCAGTCAATTATGTGCCATGCGTGATACATGCTTAGGTGGTCATGTATTTTCGATACATGAGTGACGAGGCAGATTTTTTTCCCACAAAACTTTGTTATTTCGTTCTGCGGTGGACCAGTTGCCATCCAAGGCTATACAATCCTATCTATCCTGTTATTTTACCTATATCTGGGCGAGAAGAGGGTTCATCCTTTCCCAAGGGTATTAGCACGTAAGTGAATGTAATGTTTTCGACTGGAATTTGAACTCGGCTTACCGATTCCTCAAAAAAAAAACATAGATTTGAGTGAAACAGTTTGAGAGTGGATGGTTGTATCGATGGATATCCCATATACATATGCGTACGTGCATACGCACACTTACATCCACACTTATACATGTGAGTATATTTTATCATTGTCCATTTATCTATTCGCCGATATACATATTTATATTTGCTCAGACTACCTTAGCGAAAGTAACTGAGAATAAAATCGGAATATGGTGTAGCGCCATTTTTCAGCGTTTGTTATGAAACTTAGCTCTCGTCAGTTCATTTAATTTAATTACTAGCATAGCATAAATTTTAAAACAAAGAATAAGATATCTCCAGAGAACAAAGATTGACATGTTTGTTTATTGATTGAATGATTTGTTTTTTACGAATTATAAACCTTTTTTAGCTTATTCAAAGTCAGAAAATATTTTTAGATTGTAATATTTTGGGGGAGATGATAATGATTTAGTGTTACAAGTCCTATTAATTAACACATAGCTGAGGGGAAAGAGGTGGATTCCTAACTTTCCCAAGTGTATTTGCTCTTAAGTGAATATAACGAACTGATCTGGGACTCGGCTCTCCAATTTTCTAATTACTAGCGGTTATCCATTACACCACCCACACATACAAGCTTACGACACATTGTATTCCTCAGCGATTAACCATCTAAGTACTGGCTTGTCTCGACGTTGCTTAACTTCTGTGATCGTACGAGAACCGGTGTGTCAATGTGATGCGGCCGTAAGCCTTACCAGCTAGTAATATAATAAAAACCATTAGAATAAAAAACAGACGATGCTACATAGATGGAATGAATACTCGGGGCAATGACAACAGAGAAAAGAAAAGTACATTTTTTTTTTATGTATGGAAGGATGTATAGTGTATCTTTGTACCTTAGACTAGAAATTAGATAGGTTTTAGATGCCACGTACGAGATGATCGAAATGGATGGATGCAGAGAAAGTGTCGTGAAAGGAAAATAATCTGATTGTCTAAAAATCACGAATGATTCAGGTTTATTCATGAAATTTGTTCAACATCGAAACGGGACGGTTGCTACTAGAATAATAGGGAAAGCGTAGAGTGTCAAAAAGGACGTACTGTTTGCCAGGGTGGACTATCAGGTTCCTCAATGATGGAGTTTAAATTCTGCTTTCCTCTCAGGTTGATTAGGAAAAAAAATAATTTTTCTTAGCTGTCAGCCTACACTCATCTTCCACTAAAATATTTTAGTCGAAACTGATCAGAGATAAGAATGTCGCCACCCAATTGTGCTTTGCGCTGTCATGACCTATTAATGAGTCATTTTCAAACTCCGATCTCGTTTAGTGAACATCATCGTATAAATGTAGTTTTCAGATCTAAGGTTAAGTCAGGTGACCTAAATGAAGATCACCAGTATCATAGGAGACTGTTATAGAGCTGCTGACAGTCAAAGACGATTTAATGATTGGTAACTTTCTTCATCTTTTATATGTCATGTGCTTTCAAGACGTGGGCAATCATAGCACTCTATATTTCCTGACGTTTATTGATTATATTTTGGCAGTGTTTTCATTAAGACATGTCTCATTAAATTATTTAGACGAGCTTTGTCTACTTATTCCTAATAGAACCCCCTCATATTTCCAGATGAGTTTCTTAATATCCTTATTAAAGCAAGAAAAAAATTACCATGTTGATGTATATCCATTTTATCCCCGAGTACTTTCGACATTAGCACAATATCATCTTCATGGTCTTATTTTTGCAAAGACAAAATTGCTTTGTTCATCTGAATTTTTTTTTTTTACTTGTGAAGTAAAAAACAATAAACTTATGTACTGTACAATTTTTTTAATTTTATAATGTAAACATACGCGTGTAGTAACGTCAAGGGAGGTAGTTATGGTATTGAGATGTTTAACTATCTAAAAAAAAAAATTTAAATATCTATTCGTTATATCTGCCAAAAAATAAACCCAGAAAATCTGGAAAGTGAACTCTTTCATGACAGCAGTTGCCAAACGCTCCGTCAGCTCTCGAACATGATTGGAGTCAATTATGGAGTCTGCCAGATCTTAGTTAGGGAACTTTGCGATATCATCATCCAGCGTACCGCTAGACACCTACACAAATAAATATACAAATGTAGCTTCCCAATGCCTTTTCTATAAAAACTTTCCTATGTGCTTTCCTCTATAGTACATAGACTTTGTGAATTTAAGCGCAGTACTAAACTGGCGGCAAGATCTCATCATTTTGTAGTTGAAATGGTTAAATGCTACCGTAAGTTTTATGCTATTAGTTTCTTCTCTTGCACTTCTTGCTGTGAAACTCTCTTCCGGGTTATTGCTTCCCAGTTAACTTTGATTTGAAAATAATTAAATGCAATGTCAATTGTTATCTTCTGTCTTCTTAATTCATGCCCTTTTATTGTTCTCGCTCCTTAATAATGTTTTCTTTTTGCCATATTCTCTCACATTCAGTAATCTCTTGCGTCTTAATAGCATTATTGCGTTGCTCAGAGTGAAATGATTAAAAAAGAAATACACACACATACATATTTATATGTCTCTGTGCTTATGTGTGTAGATATAACAGTTCGGCTAAGTCAGCCTATAATTGATATGTCTATTCACCAGTAGAATTAAACAACTATTAGAAATGAATAGAAATGTCCAGAAAGTATAATAATCATGAGGGAACAAATTCGTTATCTTTCAGCAGAACCAGAACAATCTACCCCAGCAGATACAATAAAGGGTTCACTTCAAATTTCCTTTAAGGCTATCTGTACACTTGAAGAAGGCCGGGGGCTACAACGGCCAAAACAACAATAGTCCGAATGTAAATTATTTAATAACTCCTCATCCTAGAAATTCCGACGAATATGAATAGTCAACATAACTCGCAGTGAATTTATGTCCTTACTTTTTGATAACTAGGTGTGTATTCTCTTTCAGGTGAGATATGCGAGAGGTGTAATGGATAGCGGCTCGGAATGAGTTCGAATTCCAGTCGGTTTCTTTGCATTCACTCATGCGCAAATAGCCTTCAGTGAGGTATGAATCCATATCCTCCCCTACCTATGGATTACATAGTAGGACTTGTATATGGAATAATCATTGTTATTCTAAAAAAAAAAAATTAATGCAATATTTACTGGCAAAAATGAATTATTCTTACAACCCAGTTTTAAATATCCCACAAAGTACATTATTTACATTATTCGGACTATTGTCCTCATCTTTGTCGCCATATTTATCACAACGTTTCGGCCGCTGTACACTCCGGCCTTCTTCAGGTGGTTGGAATGTCGAACTGAACCCTTTATTTCGCTCACCGGGGTAGACTGTTCCAAGGACACATGGCACAGTGGATAAAGGCGTTGGTTAGATCCAGTGACAGGACCCAAAAAGTGTGAGTTCAATACCCGGTTAAGGCAGTGGAGAACTCTCAGAAGAAAATTAACAGGAGATAACTGATAACTGACATCCATCAAACATGGCACGTGGAACTAGAACAGTCTACCCCGGTGAGCGAAATAAAGGGTTCAGTTCGACATTCCAACCACCTGAAGAAGGCCGGAGTGTACAACTGCCGAAACGTTGTGATAAATATGGCGACAAAGATGAGGACAATAGTCTGAGTAATGTAAATAATGTACGTAATACCTCATCTCAGAAATATAGATAAAATCTCACAAAGTGTTGATAAACCGTGAAAAATCAAATCAATCACTTCTTTCTGCTATTGTGTCGTATTATTGTTATTATTACCGTTGTTCAATGCATAATTCTTTGTGGGGGACTTTCTGGGAACCAGTTGGCGTCGATTCTCTACTAAGATTTCCACATGCTTATCGGAGTTTTTGTTACTTAGTTCTCGGCCACAATTTCTATTCTTTAATCCTCTTATTTTCTCAGGTTTCCGAAACTCCTGGCCAACGCATATTTTGTTGCTTCGTTTTCTTGTTACAATCAAATATTTCCCAATCCATGCATCATCTTTTTAATCACTCTTGACATTTTTCTTGATAATATAGCTTCATGCTAAAATTGGCTTTATCCCCACCAAATATCAACTACAATTGCCATGTAGTAGTAGTAGTAACAGTGGTAGTATTCATCAGAGTATGTCAATTTCACATATCCCCACGACTCTAGAAAGAGACTTCATCGTTATTCATCACACCTGGTAGGTTTTCAGGTTGGTATCCTGTTTCCTTTCATATGTACTGAACGTATGCTTTAAATGAGTGACCAATGTAATTGGGTCCATGTTTTGATGCCCACAATAAAGCATCACTGATAATCTCATTCTTACTTCTCCATGAATGCCCAGCAAATATTGTTCTTCTCTCCTGAATGACTCGTGAGATGAGAAGTAAATGGCCGATGTTTTTGCAGGCTGCTGTTTTAAGATGGATTCAACGCAACACATAGCATCTTTAGACGAGTATCATGTAGTTTATATTGCAACCGTTTTGTCAATGTGGGGCTCTCATAGAGCAAGATTGTTACAGCTATATCTTGGAAGAATTCTTGTTTTATTTTATCTAGCAAAGCAGATTTCCAGATTATTGACAGCTTGTCCCTTGCAACCCATGTTTATCAATGGGAATATCCATGTCACTTTTAGAGGAAAAGATGTTATTTCTAAGATAGATGAACTAATCAATCATTTTAATCGCTTATCGAACAGGCAATTGATACAGCCTAATTGACTAAAGTACATAGAAACTATAGTAGTAGTAGTTATAATAAGTTGTTCTTGCAGATAACAGGGTTCAAATGATGGAGAGTAGTCAAATAAAAATGAAGTATCAAAAACTTGATGGAAATTGAAAGGCAATTAGTGGAGTACTGGAAACGGTTACAAGAATCCTTGCAAATAAGCTAAAATATATTACAACCATAAGATGACCTAAGACCTGCAAAGCACAGTGCTATAAAGTTCGACGAATATACGCAAGAGGATTCTTTAGATTTTAGTCTTACTTTCACCAGATTACCAGTGATGATATGTCTGGTATGAAGAGTATAAGTCATTGTGACAAAAGCGGATAGCCTAAACACGCATATACGCATATATTAGGGTTAATTTACGCCTAGCAACAGAATAAAGGTCACGTGGGAGTCTTATGAAATTTTGGGAAGGCAGGTCAAAAGGTTGACTGACCCAATTACCCGTAGCGACAAATGTCTAGACAGAAGCTAAACAGGGGACGGATGTAAGCTGGAATTCGCGCCAAAACTTAAGACACGTGGCAGTCAGAGATTCACTCGAGAATCAGTTGCTATCTTGACTTTGAAGAGGCAAGACCTGAAGCCGAAGCGCTGATTGTTTATGAACGAAAAGATAAGACGCATTTGATAGTGATGGAACTTATCTAGTTCAACACAGGCAACTCAAGACAAGAAATATAACAAGAAGTATTCCTGTTCGAGAACCCCAAATTGAAGACGCAGAGAAATTTATACGCTGAGGATTCAGCCTGCGTTTAAAGAAAAAGGAAAACCAGATAATAAAGCATATATCTCTGTTACAAGTTGAATCGTGTAAAGAAAAGAAAAAGGATATCCAAAGAGAGGAAGAAAGTGTACATCCCTGTTGCAGTGAGTCGGGTTTGGAAACCGAACTGTCTACAGAAGAAAAAGGAAGGAAAGAAAAAGGCAAAACAAAGAGGAAGAAAGTGTATACCTCTGTTACAGCAGGACAGTGTGTGAAATTGTGTTTGTGTCGAGAAAAGAAAAGAA